CGGTCTGCGTCATCGGAAGCCGCCACGCGTTTTGGGTTCGGAAAGGGTTAGAGCGAGACCGGTTGATAAAATTTGTGTGTGTGGGGGGGTGTGTGTGTGTGTGTGTGTGTGTGTGTGTGTGTGTGTGTGTGTGTGTGCGTGCGTGCGTGTGTGTGTGTGTGTGTGTGTGTGTTTGTGTGTGTTTGCGCATGTATGTGTGCGTGCGCGGGCGCGCGCGCGTGTGTTCGTACGTGTGCGTGTGTATGTATGCGAGCGTGCGCACATCCGTACGTGCTCCTAGTTTAATTTATTGACATGTTCTTTAGCGTTGTGCACACGCGGTCGTTGTCATTACCCAATACTACCGAGTTCAATCACTTTCAAGTACGGAGTTGTGCAGCGTGTGCGTGTTTATAACTGGTGTGGTCGTGCCCTGCCTCGTAGAGTGAAAGCGCTTGCGTGAAGGATTGTGCAACTCTCTATGTATATAGCCGCGAGGCTATTATACGGGTGTAACTATAGGAAAACTATCACGTATTCCCCCCAACCACCATCACATCATCCGCACCTATCGCTAACCGAGCTTGGAGCTCTTGAGTTTGAAAGTGTGGAGACGCTCTCTCTCTCTCTCCTACTCTCATCTCGTCTCCTCGTCTCTCTCTCTTTCTCTCTTTCTCTCTCCTGTTGTGTGTAGAAAGTGGATAATTTGTTTGATTTTCCCGCTCGACTGAGTGGGATGATAGCTGTCGGATTGACACTGGGTTTGTTAATGATCGAACTTTTATGTAAACTGTTGTCGGAACCTCTCGTATGTGTGTTCGTGTGTGTGTGTGTGTGTGTGTGTGTGTGTGTGTGTGTGTGTGTGTGTGTGTGTGTGTGTGTGTGTGTGTGTGTGTGTGTGTGTGTGTGTGTGTGTGTGTGTGTGTGTGTGTGTGCGTTTACATGTGCGTGTGCGTGCGTGCGTGCGTGTGCGTGTGTGTGCGTGTGCGTGTGCGTGCGTGCGTGTGCGTGCGCGTGTGCGTGCGTGCGCGTGCTACATGCCGACCCATCACCTAATTCCCAGTGAAAGCAGGGAGCCACAAATAACGACGCTAACGGTCTCTATACACACAACGTCAGGTGATAGAGAGCCACGGTAGCGGTATAGAGGGTGGATGCATGGGAACGGGAGAGGAAGCAGATAAAGTTGTTACCAGAACTAATTGCGTAAAGGTTGAAGCATGCGGATGTGTTGTTGTTATAGTGAGTTATAGCAGTTTAGCATACCCTTTCGCGGTGGATGGGGGATGGGGATGGGAGACAGAAAGCGGTGAGGTGGGAAGGGGTTGACATCCATGGGATAATGGAACCTTGGATTATATATTCCTTAACCTTCCGCAGTGGATAGGGAATGTCTTCCGTAATTTCCTCTCTGCCCCGCAGCAGCAATGCGTATTTCCGAGTAAGAAACGCCATCCGTTGTGTCATGTCCATCCATCCACCCATCCATCCATCCATGCATCCATCCACCCATCCATCCATCCATCCATCCATCTGTCCATTCATTCACCCATCCATCCATCCATGCATCCCCCGTTTCGGCTTTAACGTCGTCGCCATTCGCTCGATCGATGCGGAAATCCGTACGCAGATGGCAGCACCGTCGACTCTCGGGGGGGGGGAACTC